AGAGTTATAAATATGCATAATAAAATTATTTCAAAGGCATTACATATATTTTTTAAATTTAAAAAAAAAAGAAGAAACAACTTCCAAAGTACAATCATTATTAAAAAAAAAAGATTGAATCAAATATTAAAATGAGTTTGATTTTAATACTAAAAAACAAGTTTTAAACTACATTAATGTTATTATCATTGCATATTTTTGACAATATAATTCCATATTTAATTTGCATGTTGTTCAGAAACTGCCTAAAAATTCATTTAAAAACTTTTGACACCCTAAAGATCATTAATTTACATAATTTGCAGAATGGATTGAAAAATCTTTTTGCCACTTGAATAACATGACACCAAAAAATGTATCAAGTGAATAAATGTTACAAGTACCATAAACTAACAGTTATCTAATAAAGCATCCTTATATCTGTAAGCAGGAAGTTCAGTTAACAAAATCAGTGAGAGTTTCTATGGGTTTTTTTTTCAATAAATGCTTTTATTCCATTATATGGTACAAAAATTTCTTAAGTTTCAAACCCAATTTTACAAAGTAAAAATTAATTTCTTGTATATTCATATTAAAGCATGATCTTATAAAGTTTTCATAACTGCTGAACAATCATCTTGAATTACAAGTAAGAGAATCAATGCTCTTCAGCAAAGCAACCAATCTGTATTGTCTGATTCAGGAAGACCCAACTTCAACTACTGACTGGTATGAGAAAGCCTGTAACATATTTAATATTTAAATTAAGTCTTACCCACTCAACCTTTACAGCAGAAGACAAAAGAACATAAAAACCAAACTAATAATCTTAAAGATTTGTATTCTTTGTTACTACAGGTTTAAGCAAAGAAAGATGACTTTGTAAGTGAGAAAAACCTACTCATTTACAGCATAAACCAAACTTTTACACAAACAAGTATTTTGCAGAGCTTTGATTTACCAAGCATATAAACTATATAACAGTTAAACTTTGTTTGTTTGTTATGGATTTTGCGCAAAGCTACACGAGGGCTATCTGCGCTAGCTGTCCCTAAATTAGCAGTGTAAGACTAGAGGAAAGGCAGCTAGTCATCACCACCCACTGCCAACTCTTGGGCTACTCTTTTACCAACGAATAGTGGGATTGACCATCACATTATAATGCCCCCATGGCTGAAAGAGTGAGCATGTTTGGTGTGATGGGGATTTGAACCCGGGACCCACAGATTGCGAACCAAACAGCCTAACCACCTGGCCATGCAGAGCTCCAGTTAAACTTACAAACATTATTACACAAAACAACAAGAATCTTTTCAACATACTTTATATGGCATTAAAAATGGAGACTAACTGATTAAACTGGGTACCTAGCAAGTGCTCATTACATGGTCACTAATTACAATTCAATTAGAAGTAAAAGACCAAAGATGATGTCGTACATTCAAGGTAACACGTGAAACAGAGATACTATCTCACCATTTCAGAAGTTCTTCAGATTATTACAGATATATATACAGCAGATGCAAAAAGACTGATATTAGTAAATTATTTTGGAAGTTTTTGAATAAGACCTAATAAAGCCCATCTCAAATGCAACCTAGCAAGTGAAAAATAAAACAATATAAAAGATGCAATTAAAACTAATTTTGAGCTAAAGAGGGACGCTATAAATTCTACATGATGTTCTGGAAAATACAAATCAGTCAACTTGGCTGTTCATAATTAGCACACTTAATATTATAGCTTAAATATGCCTTAAGAACAAATACCAAGTTCTTTTAGAATGCAGACACTGTTTTTTAAATATATTTTTCAGCCTATACAGCTCAAATGAACTTACCTCACAATTCTGTGTAAAATGAAACCAAATGGAGTATATTCTGTTTATTTTTGGGAATAAAATAAAAAAGACAAATATCATCTAAAATATAGTTTACAATCTTTATTCACATATAATTGACAGGAAAAGCATATAAAAAAAAAATTAGTACAATCTGCCACTATTCGTAACATCATATTCATCCAAGTTAACACTTCAAACATGGAAATTTGTAAAAATAAATTCTCTTTTTTCAGTATTTTTCACAACCAAGCGTGTGTGTGTTCTTTGATTTTATATATCTTCCTATCCTTTCATCCATACCTTTCTAGAGTTATTCTTTCGGCTGCAGTTTCTCTTGAGGAAAAGGGCTTGGAAGTTGTCTTCCTTCAGCCATGATAGCTTCAATCTCCTCAACTGTGCGAGGCACACAAGTGAGCAGTTCCATACCATCACTTGTAATAACAATGTCATCCTCAATACGAACCTGAAATGTTATAAGTTATCTTCACTGAAGAATAATGTACAAGACATTCAAATTTAGCCATGGTATTGATATACAAGTTTTAAAAACAAATTAAACTTAAAACAATTTCTTACTTTTTTTCTTATCTAATATCATGCTAGATGTTTAGGAATCTATTATGTATTAACATTTAACTTCAATCGAGTCTTAGAACTACCAAACAGATCATAGTTTCTATAATACTGGGATAGTCAACCGGTATTTTAAGCTTGTGTATGTTTTTGTAAATTATCACACACTATACACAAATACAAACTTTTTGACATACTCATACTGGAAATAATATATCAATAAGGAGTACTTTTAAGTGCAGTACAAATAAAGACATAACTGAACCCCTGAAACAGAAAAGCAATCATACTTGTGATTCTCTCTGTAATAGTCACAAGTTATATCAATAAAAATGTAAGTATTTAGACCATAGAGAGAAAATTGGAAGTTAAAACAAGTGTGTCAGAAAACATTCAAAGTAAATTAACGCATATTTTATTTCTTTTCCTGCTAAGTTATGGACATTAAAGTGCCAGTCCTAAATGACAACCCCCTTTAAAATAAAGGCTACATTTGGCAAACTAAAATTAACTAAATCATCGGCTGTTTTTCAGTGAAATCTCTTTTGTATGTGTTGTATTACAATTGATTAAGTCCTATAGAACTAAATACAGGTATATATATTTCAAACACAATTGTTTCCACTAAACAATTGAGACTAACCACTTTTCAAGCTTCCATACATAATATCTCTGAAGCAGCAACTTGTGGATTTTAGATTTTTTTCTATCAACCTTCCAGATAATTTCATTTGACACAGACTTGCAAATGAACTGAAGAGTAGTACATAGTTACATGTGTAATGTATTGTAAGGTCTTGCTTACAATACCACATCTCACAGGCCACAATGAATGTCTTCTTCAGGCCACAGGCATGACAACTACAGCCACGAAATGAATTTTAAATTTGAAATGAAGAGCAAAAAAAATTTTTTCAGTAAATAAACATTTTTTTTTATAAGCTGAAGCATTAATTATGGTATATTACAGGCTCTTTGAGCAATTATACCATCTGAAAAACAGAATTTAAAGGTTTTGCTGGGAGGCCTGAAAATGTTTTCTTTGTCTACTTGCCAAAAATAGACAAATGACTTAGTCCAAAACCTTTATCTTCCTTTTCATTATCCAAAACTTTAAATATGAAGAAAACTCACCCCTCCAAAGTTACGGAAGCGTTCAATAACTTCAGGTACGAGAAACTTTGCTTGTTCGGGATTATTCAATGTTTGTTCTAAAAGCTATAAAAATAAAACAGGATAAATATTAAGTTTCATACAGATTTTTTTTGTTGCAAAAATAAACCTATTTTTATATACATTGTACTGCATTATAAACATCTTGAACGTTAAATATTTTCACTGTACGATATCATTTGTATAACGTAATTTTTTTTTTTTTTTCTAATCACATTTTGGTAAGGATTTAACTTTTATAGACAAACTAGAAAGAGTTAATCACTTATACTATCACATAACATCTTGACAGTTTTGTAATACAGACTGACATCTGAATCTTAAACTAGCTGCATTTCCTGGACTAAAATCTGAGTCATGAAAATATATCTACACAATGTGTTTGTAAGGACATCATTTTTTTTAATAAAGCAGTTATTCTTGTATTGATAAAAGAAGTGTTATAATTACACTTTATACTTTGCAATAACTAGATAGATTGTTGAATTTCTCTTAAATAAGTTTGTACACAATATATCACATACTAGGCTTAGAGCATCAACACTCAGTTGTACGTACACTCACTAATAACCATCAACCAACATGTGTTAGTGTATCTAACTATTAATGGAACTTAAGACTATTTATGCCTAAATTCTGAGCAATAGTTATCAGGAATATGGTTCAGAAACCGAGCTTTTGGAACATAGCACTAATTGGATCATCATTCATGAATCAATTTCCTAAAATGAATTTGTTTCACATGTTTTCAATAATCTTGAAAAGTAACAACTAAATTATCTATTTCCCAAGCCACTGGTTTTCAATAGATACAAGTCTGTGATGATCTCAAAGAAACTTGCAGTTCACATGATCAACATTCTGGATCCTATATACAGAATATGTTTACGAATCACCCAATTTATGCAGGATCACAAAACAAATGATTCATGTTAATGTTTTGGCTAAGTCCAAAAGCAAGCAAGATCTTTGGCAGCCTGCTCGTTAAAAGGCAGCATATGGCAAAATCTCTACCTATAAATGATGTATCACTGCCTACTCTCAAGTTATAAACAATGTATAATATGCTACAGAACTTAGATTTATATTTTTTTTAAAAGTGCCAGGGGTACCAAGTTCTTAGGACAGTAATATTTCCCATGTCTAGTCCTGAAAATGTTCCCAAAGTATAATGTAGTTATGTATTTTTTCCCCATCACTCATGATCTTTTAAAGGGCTAAAATCATGGACCTTACTTCTGCTTATTGTCAAGCATCATGTAGACAATGCACTAAAGTAGGTCTACCACAAAAGTACAATTTTGGTTTGTTTTGTTTGAATTTCTCCCAAAACTACACGACAACTATCTGCACTAGCAGTCCCTAATTTAGTAGTGACAGACTAGAAGGAAGGCAATTAGTCAACATTACCCACCACCAACTCTTGGGCTACTTTTTTTTATCAACAAATAGTGAGATTGACTGTTACATTATAACAATCCCATGGCTGAAAGGGTGACCATATTGACAAAGATTTGAACCCATGACTTGCAGATTGCGAGTTGAGTACCTTAACCCTCAGGCCATGCCAGACATACAATTTTGTGAACATGCCATAATTTTATTGTATTGATGGGAAAAATATAACCAATATTTGCTACTGTTGAAAAAAAAAAAGTTGAGTTTGAGTGGATTCAGTAACCTTGACAGCTCTGTACTCATTTATTTACAGGGCAACTAAGTAGGTATTGATGTCGTGCGCTGATTAGATAGCAGGATTTAGCATCACTCACCAAAATAAAATGTATCACAATATAGTGAACACACACTTCATAAAATGTCCAAGAAAAAAAAGGTAAGATTTTTTTTTCTCAGAAAGGTCCAGCAGCATTATCTTCCATGCTAGACATGCTCCTGCAGGTTCCCCCAAAAGTGTACTGTTTCAAAAGTAAATAAAATCAAAACTAAGAGTAAAAAATATTTTTTATTTTTTGCTTCTGAAGTTCATATGTCATGATCTATGGCACGTGTACATTTTACTGACAGCAGCATTATCTTCCATGTTTGACATGCTCCTGCAGGTTCCCCCAAAAGTGTACTGTTTCAAAAGTCAATAAAATCAAAATTAAGAGTAAAAAATATTTATTTTTTGCTTCTGAAGTTCATATGTCATGATCTATGGCATGTGTACATTTTACTGACATCACAACAGTACAAATTGCAAAGTCAAGAGTCCCTCTTGTGATATCATGATAAAGGTCTACTGAGTAATTGACAGACAACACACTATTGAAAGTGGTGCAAGTGGTTAAACAGGTGACCCCTCCAGGCAGCCTTCGGACCCTTTCCAGGAAACATGCTAAAAAAATGGACTTTGCTTGAGTTGTAATTTAATTTGTTTCTAATCAATGTTTGCAAGAATCACATGCTGCTTAAAATCTGTAGACCTACCTACTCTTAGCCTTTCAGTAGGTTGTTAAAGTCAACTATCTTGCATCTCAGAAAACATGACTTTGCCATCACTTGTGAATACCTTCACTTTTTTTAAAATTCCACCTTGACTTCCTACTACTATCCATGTTGAATGCTTCTGTTGGACAATATGTATGGGTGGTGGGAGTTAAGAATCACAATCAGAAAAATTGTAGAAATATTGTCTCCTCAGATGTAATGGAGAGGTAGTGAGCAAGTAGTTATTGTTATTCTAATTTTCTGCAGAGACTGAGTGACATGATCTTCCAGTATGTATGGGTTTGTGCTCTAAAAGACATGCAACAAACTTACTTTAAAGAAAGTTGCCACAGAATCTAAAGATTTTGAAGAGAAAAACTTACAATGAAGGAAAAGAGTGTAAATTAGAATATTTCTCTTAAAATAGTCAACTTCTAAGTCAGTCAAGATCTTTTGATTAGAGTACCACATTCATTGAAAAGGAAGATAAGAAACAGTCTCAAGTTCAGGAAGAAGACCAAGGAAGATATTGAAAATTGAAAGATAGATGGAGAAAACTATACCACAAACAAGAGCCATTAAAAATAAAAGTTGTTTCTTAAAAACAGCTTGTTAAGTTGTATCATGTAATTTATTCATTTTACTTTAAATAGATAATCATAAATTATTTCTTTGAATTATCACATCTAAATTCAAAAGTCAAAACTGATAATTCAACTAGTACTGTGTTTAGTTTAATATCTTAGAAATGTGAACATTAACAGGGCAAATGTCTGTTACTTTTATAAAGTTTTCAATATTCTACTACTATTCAAATAACTAATGCAACTGTAATGCTTTTTAATAATTATTTCTGTTTAAAGTACACCTTAAAACAGTTACTCCAATACAAAACATATATGCTACTACTGCAGATATTTAATAAAAAAATAATCAGTAATTTTACAGCATTAATCCTAAGTAATTCTTAAATATTCTACAATATATTGTATATAAAATAAAGAAGAGATCAATGATATAGCTTAAAATTGAACTGCTAAACACAACAGTTAATTATTGACAAGTATTTTGCAGATATGTTTTATAAGCTAAATGTTTGCTTTAATACAATTAATCTGAATACCAATCACTTCTCTGTAGTGTAAAGTTAACATTTTGTGTTTACATTGAGTCCAGTATAGCATTTATAGGTTATTCATGATTTTGGACATTAACTTACAGCATCAATAAAGTAAATTCCAGGTTCAATAGTTAAAACCATTCCCTCTTCAAGATTACGTGCTGTTCTTAGTGAACGCACACCTGGCTCAGATGGTCGGGGTGGTCCATCCTAAAAAATTATTAAATAATATCTTGTCATTTAAACCTATCTTATATATACTCTAAATATTTGTATATGTAAGTTAGTGATTTAATGTCATAAAATGTTACTCCTTACTACAGTCAAAGATACATGTTAATGTATCTGAAATCTAATATCTCTTAATAAGAAAAAATATCTCAGTATAAAAACATGAAGTTATCAATTACCTATTTGAATTCTGAAATTATCAGAAAATAAGTATTTTGCTAGTGTTATAAGTTAATAACTTTACAAATCATTCCAATGATGCAATATTATAACTGCCTCTTCCAATTTTAAGATATGAAAGACTAAAGGAACAGTTTCAAACATTATCCCATGAAATAATAGATACTCAATCCCAGATGGAATGAACAGTTGATAGTTGTTACTTTTGTTTTAAAGTTACTGTTTAGAAAGAATGTACATGATCTGAAAACAAGCCAACTAATAACAAATATAATAATCTAACTTTCACAAATATAGATGTAAGCTACTGTGTTAGAAGCTGCATTATATGAAAAAAGTATTTTTTGACTAATAATTTTAAATACTTACTTCTGGATAACCTCCCACATCATGCACATCACATCCCATAAAGTGTCCCAATCCATGGGGCATAAAAACAGCTCCTAAGTGAGCTTTCATCATTTCATCAACATCTCCTTTCAAAAGCCCATGACGTTTTAGCTCTTCAAGCTGAGTACGTTCTGCCAGGAGATGCATATCTACCCATGAGACACCTGAAAACAATAACATAAAAATCATTACAAAAACAACCGCAACTACATCAGTGGATGTCACTACAGAATTATATCTTTACTTAAGTCCATCGAAAACTTATTAGGAAATATCTGAACTAGGAGTTTGAAATGTTCTTGGCACATCACTCAACACAAGCGCAAAGATGACAGAATTTTTGCAGTGATGAAAGCTTCAAACATAATTCCATAATTATTTGACAATGGAAAAAAATTGAAGTAAACATCTAATGCAGAGGAACTGTTAAGTGAATTACTTTACTTTCGCTTATTTCTTTTATTCAAAAAATATAAAACTTAAAATAATTAAATTACTTCAGTTATACACCTTCAAATGAGTGGATAAAAATCAAACTTGTATTTATTTTCTTTTGAAATGAATAAGCTTGATTACAGAACATGGAGCTTAAAAGAGCATTGTTGTTCTTGCATTCTAAATCATTTTGAACTTTTCACAAAGGAAAAGTAACGAGGTTGTTCCTTGTTCGTAGTCCATTTCCATTGGCTTGAAAATCTTGAGAAAGTACAACTAGATTGAAGCTTTTAGTTAGGGTAACTTATATTCATAGTCACCAACAAGAATTGTCAGATGATTCCAAAAGAAAGGAGAAAAGTGATGAGAAAAAGTCACGTGATGTGCTTAATACCAAAACACGTAATAAAAGCCACTAATAAAAAAACTTTACAATCTGTATTCACGTGTTTACAGTATGGAACTTTATAAAGGTCAATTTTAAGCATAATAAGCATTAAAGAACACGGATTATGTTCTAGCCTCTAGTCCAATAGCCCTTTTTTTTTTTAGAAATGCAACGTAATAGACTAACTGATATTTTAACAAAAAAGACATTTAGGATTAACTCTAATTAATTGTAATGCAAAAGTTTGGTTACTTACTTTAAAGTCTAAACCTAAAAACTGTCTACTGTATACAGTATATTGAAAAACAGCAAATTAAACTTGTATTGCATTTTAGTTTACCCACCTGTCACATTAGTAGTTATAAGTGTTGGTGTCTCATATTTACACAGAACCGTTAAAATACAGTTCACTTAATATTGCAATGCATGTATCAGTTCTCATTTATACACAGCGAAGTGGAGAAAAAGAAATTCTAATCACACTTTGCAAAAATTAGTAAATTTAGAAAGTATTTTCCAACAAAAAATAAGAATGTTTGTTTCATTACTACAATGGCAAATTAAAAATAAATTTATTACACACTGAAAAGGAAACCTAAAAAACATACACAAGAGAAACTTGTTATAACCACCATAAAACAAACATACAGTTTTAGCTTATATTACACTAACCTGGTTTCACTGCATTCATTACTGCTCGACTAGCCTTGTAAACAGATTCATAGATGGCTTTTTGATCTTCAGTAAATTTTCCATTTGCAGGGAATGAACAAGTGATGTCTGATGTGTAACAACAGTAGTCACAACCCATATCAAACAAGCTGTAGATTAATTATTGGAAATTATTATAAGATTACTATCACTATAAAATATAAACGTCTTACTTGTAAGAAGTAAGTAATGGTCCTGTCATAAACTATGATTGAATAAATTATGCTAAGTATCCATAATCTGACATTATGAAATACCTAAAGCAGCTTATAAGAAAGATAAGATCCTCAAAAACAAGCCTAAATTTTATTGCACAAAGTTCCAGGATATTTTGAAAAACAGATAGTTTTTAAGAAATAAATGAGCACAAAAATTAGCCATGTGAATGTGACCTTACACTAACACTATCATCTCACAGAAATCAGAACTCCTGCTATCATTAATTACCTCCAACAAATATGTAGACATACTAATGACTCACTTCAATTACTTTTAAAATGTTTCCTCAATTTAGGCAGAGTGATCTCCAATGATCAAGAATGTGAACAAACTGTGAGTTAACACAAAAATGATACATTCAATAAAGTTTAAAGTATACACAAACATTAGTTGCACCACTTTCTGTCAATACAATGCCAGTATTAATAAATATATAAAAAAAACTAAACTAATGAATTTAGTTTTGACAAAAAAAAAATCCAGATTTGGCCCACTTTTGACAAGAGCAACCTAACAAAACAACAAAGAAAAATAAGCATAATTATATTAAAAAATCATGTAGAAGTTTCAGAAAATTTACACAGAAATATTCTTAACAAATGAATTGTATAATAGCTGTAATTAGTATTGTTGGTTAGTGCAATGTGGAGGTTATTTGTTTTTATTTAGTAACTAATAGTCAATATGAACTTTTATTATTAGGAAAAGATCCAATTCAAGATTTTTTTTTTTTTATATGATGTAGCACTGCGTAGAGAGTTAACAGGCAACCTACAATCTGGCAGTCACACATCATGCACTGTGTAGATAGTTAACAAGCAACCTATAATCTGGCAGATACACACAATGCCATATCAATATTTGAAGAATAAATATGCTTGAATCATAAAGCAATAAGTTAGAAAACTGATTTCTACAATTATTTTATTATCAGACGCACTTTGTAAATATATGTACTTAAAGCTACTAAGACTTAGAAGTGATACCTTATTTAATCCAAAATAAAACAACTAAAATGTTGAATGGTTCTTTGAAAAGCTTAAATTAAAAACCAGGTAAACTAAGGGTAACAAAAATAAGCTGGAGATCTAATATAATAATTTTATAAAAGAAATATAATTATTAGCTTATAATTATAATTATTTTAAACAAAAACATTAACCTACTGCCAGTACATTTTAGTTTTGAAATCTTTAAAAAAATAAACATCCTGTATAGGGTTACATTCAGGTGAATATAGATATAAAATATAAATTTAGTAATTCAAATTTAGATAGGTAAGATGATTTTTGGGTTTTTATGGATATGAAAAATATACATACAGTACGATTTGAAACTAACTGTGGCCACTCAAACTTTACAATGTACTTGTAATACAAGCTATGCTGGCAAAGAAAAACAAAACTAATTATTCACATCAGTAGCATACGTAACTAATCGACCGACATGAATTACGTACATAGCAATGTACATATTTTAACTATCAGAATGGCAAAAAAGTGGGAGTATAACAATTAATCTGATCTAAAGAATTAGAAGAAAAAGTAATATGCTTTGAGAGGGTATTTTTCGACAGTACACCTTGGAAGGAAATACTTATTAAATGCATTTTGTGTGACCCTTCTGTACATATGCAAGACACATAAAGTTTTGAAATACCTATTTATGGGATAATAGATATAATCTATCATGTGAGACATGATCATATGTCACTGTTACAGACAAAATGTTGTACTGAAATAATTTTTTTTATCCCACGGATAGCCGTTTGAAAACTTTGTGTATATATATATATATATGTCAATAATTAAGAGGGTACCTCTTAAAGTAACATGTTTAGTACACGGGCACACCAATGCCAAAGTGTATGTAAAATTAGTAATTCCTCATTTTGTCCAGATACTGCACTATCAAGATCTGTAATGGCAGTAGGAAAGATTATTAACCATCTGCTATGTTTATTAGTCAACCAACTTGAGCTTAAACTTAGACAAAGTCTTGACAGTTTTACAAATATCCACATTATATCTACAGTGGTTTACTAACACCTAATCAATCCCAGTTACATAGGAATGCAGTGTGCACTACTTTGTAAAATGTAATTTTAAACTTGTGTTATTATGCCAGTACAAATATAAAAACTTCAAAGTATATAATTTATCTTTCTTACCAATATTCATATTAATGACACATCATTTAAAAGATACATCATAATTTTTCATTACTTAAAATTTCCCAGAACTGGATATTTTCCTAAAACAATTTCTCTAACTGACTTTTCAACAGATCTTTGTTAGAGGTAATATATAAAGATTTAAATTTTTGTGCTACATTGAAATTTCAGATAATTATGTAACACAAAAGTTAGCTTATGATACACAGTCACTGATAAATCCAGCATAATTATTTCAGTCTTCAAATTATCAAAACTTACATCAAATTACTACGTGACCATGCAGTAACTGTTGAAGATTAAACAAAATTTTGAAAATTATTCACTATATAAAATAAGCTTATCTTGTGTATAATGACAGACACTAATATTTTTTTTATCATTTGTTTATTACATTTTGATTCAAAATTAACTAGTGGATATATTATTTATGTATAATAAATACACAATATTACCTCAATTGCCAATACAGTAATAATATTAATTCTATGGGTATTACATACAACTTTTTTTGTGGAGCCTACGGTTTTATGTTTTGTTTTAAGAGAATTGCTGTTTACAGGAGGAACAGAATATTTATTTCAAAGACTAGTCCAAATTACAGTCAAATTCTTCAGCCTTAAATTTTGTTACTAAATCATCATAAATATTTATATAACTAGTTAATTTACTTTTATCTCACTTGGTGGAAAAATCTACACGTTTTTTTCTCGTTTTCTTGAAAATAAAACAAGGGAATGGATAAAGCTTTTTACCATATATCTCCATCTCTCACAGTCTTATCATTGGGTGCTCCTGCATGACCATAATGGAGAACAGCACCATTTTCTCCACTAAAGAAAAGTGGGATGAATGAAAGTTAAATTTAGGAACTTCTTATTGACTAATTTTTATGATTAAAAAAGCAAACAATTCAGAACATTACATTGTCTCTAACAACAAATACATATTCCTAGGATGAGCAAATTACGATTTGTACAAAAAAAATACATTTCTTCTGTTAAAGTGTTAAATGGATTAAATTATAGTATATCTATATCACTATTAGTTAAAAATTAAGACTATCACACAGAAAATTAATATTCACAAAACATTAGCATTGAAAAAGTTTCCTATCCCTAAAAATAAACTTAGATTTTCTTTGCAAATATATTCAAATTATTTTGAAAGTGTACTTTAAATAAGTATTCAGATATGCATGAATGGTTCAATGACTAAAAACTTACTTTAATCGCACTCAAATTGCTAGAAATATTTGAATTTGAAGAAGATTTTGATTCACTGAGGTAAAGATTATCTATACAATCAAACTGTATCAACCTGAGCTAGATAGATATATATATATATATATATAAAGAGTACGTTCAACTATAACACATAGGCTTGAACCCTACCTACGATTCATCTAGATTTTTAAAACAAATGCTTTAATTCATAATTTATCCCTAGAGAAATTGTAAAATAGTTTTATATGAACCAACCATACAATTTATTTCAGATTTCTAAAACTGTCAAATGTGTAATTAATCAAAACTCAATGATCAATATGCATTACTAATATCTAAACACAAAATTGAATTCTATAGATTTACATTTACATATACACTATTATCTAAATTTTTTAATTTAATAGAATAGTACCACAAAATATTACTTTAGGCTTCTAAACCTTTAAAAACATTTGTAATCTAAACACAAGTGCTCTCAAAAAACCAACTTCACCATACAAAAACACTAAACTAGAAACTGTAGAATATATGATGGTTCTTGCTAAGCACAGGTTCAATCTTAAATTATTATCTAGTTAACTTATTTCTCTCTGTCTGCTTTTATCTACCATCTGTTTTGCTATTCCACTTACACATACACTGTTTCTCTCTATCCCCACCCTACTTTGTTTTACAGTCTACCACGTTTTAGTTTTTGCTTTATTTCAATGTCCATTTTACCCTACCACTCCACCTACTCTGATTCTTAAAAAGATCAATTGCATTAGAATTTTCTTTCAATACTGTGCTCCGATATTTCAACAAGATGATGAACATTTTTGTTCTGTTGTTGACTAATATTAGTCTGCTTTGGAAGTTTTGTCTAATAAGCTCAAGAATATTTAAGTACAATAATTCTAATGTAGCACTCCATTTCCTTGTGTTTATAATAAGGTTTAAGTTACTTGAAATTTTTTCTAGAGAATTTACAATGTAACAGCTGCAGGATCATAGCAGCTTTCAAGTTTCAGCAACAGGCAAAGTAAGAATTGGAAGTTTATAATTTCTGTTTTTGGATATCTGGATTAATTTGTCATGTAAAATTTACAAGTTAACAAAGGTCTAAACATTCCACCAGACTTCTCTGACTGTGAAACTTGTGAATGGTCCACTATTACTTTTGTTTCCCAAATTTTAGCTTACCTGCCACAAATACAAGTGTACGACATGTGTCTTGATCCACCAGTAAAATAGCAGTAATGTTGAAATATGCTGAAAGATAAAAAATAAGTTTCTGGAGAACTAAATAATCAAGGAATATATATATGTTACAATGAAATTTCTGTGTGTGTTAAAATAACATATTACAAATAAACAATAAACTATCACTTGCCTAATCTGAAAATGAAAAAGCCCTGGCAAAAAAGAAGGTCAGCTTATTATGACCAAGAGTACACAAAAACAATATATGACAGCCACAGAGTATTGATATAAAAAACAAATATGAAAACCTGACATTAAAAGAAAGTGGAAAAAAAAAGTTAAATAAAAACCAGCAGATCTAATTTTGACCCACAAGTATAGTTTCTAAAATGATTTTACTTAAAAATGAACTTCACAGTTTTATATGCATCTTCAAACAAGTTTTAAACTTTGAAATAAATTTGGTCTTACAACTTAAAATGTGAGACATTTAATGGTCATAATTCTATTAAATTATTATTTATGGAACCTAAAAGTTTTCATGAGTAATATGATTTGAAAAAAAAACAGTTTTCCTCACAACTAAGACATTAATATGACAGTAGCTTTTTTTTCATTACCTTTCAAGCTGGTATTCTTTCATTCCGATACGAACACGCTTCATGACCTACACACACACATATTATAAAAATAATTCAAAGCACTTACAAGATCACATTCCCTCACAAACATGATTTTAAGAAAAGCGTAGGCCACAGCTTTAGATAACATTTAACAAGATGAAAATCTCCTATAAAACTATTAAAATTGTTTTTTTGCAATGCTAATAGTACATTTAAAAGAAAATTCTTTAGTAGCTTACAGCTTTAAAATATCAAGCCAAAAGTAAATAAAAATGAAACAGGAATTAGGTATATTTTGCAAAGTTTTTTTTTTTTGCACACTAGTAAAAGTATCTTAAAATTACTTCACTGACATACACAAAAAAAAAAGTTTGATCCTTTCTTAGAGAATTTTAAAGTAAATTCATGGAAATTATTCAGTTCTTATCAACACAGTTTTTATAAATTCATCATGAGTAACAAGATATATTTTATTTTGAGAATTTTCTTTCCCTTGAAATCTTTCTCTGGTGACTTTAAAAATAATTTCTAATACAAATATGCTGCTACCGATCAATCACTGATGTATCCGCATATGCAATCTGAATAGTCAGCAAGAAAATTAATTTCTCACTTTTGTAAAACCTCTAACTAGCACTGGTTAATGGCATTCTGAATGATTAATACAATTTCAGTTTCAATGAAGGACCAAGATGCAAGTCTTTTACAACTTAGTTTCTATTTATAAATTTCTTGGAATGAAGATAATTTGAGTTACATGCTCATTCACCTATTTATTTACATACCAACCTCTTTGTGTGCGTCTGAACTAATACGATTTGTGTAGCGAAGAATTTCGATTTCCAAAGGTGTCTTGATAACACGGCTGCAACACCAAATTATCTGTTAATAATTACTTATTTAAAAGAATTACAACATACAACATGTCAATTGATCCTAAAGACTTTTATATCATTTTAAAGTTTGAAATTAAAAGTATATTTTATTGAATATCTCTACAAAGGTGTCTTGATAACACAGCTGCAACACCAAATTATCTGTTAATAATTACTTATTTAAAAGAATTACAACATACAACACGTCAATTGATCCTAAAGACTTTTATATCATTTTAAAGTTTGAAATTAAAAGTATATTTTATTGAATATCTCTACTCAATATCTTAATTATTTACATACATTAATAGAAATTATCCAGTTCTTATGATCTACAACAGTTTTGATAAATTCATCATGAGTAACATGATACATTTTATTTTGAGAAGGGATATAAAAGTTACAATGATATCTGTGTGTGTGTGTGTTAAAATAACATATTACAAATAAACAATAAACTATCACTTGCCTAATCATAGAGATATGCAATGTCATAAAAAAAAATATTTTACCAAAATGCAATGATTCATCAGTTTGGTATCTTGCTTTAAGTAAAATTTTCAGCCATAATCCCAACAATATATCCCAAGATTAAGCCACATGAAAAGTCTTAGGTTAGTTTAAATCCATATATTAAGCTAACAATGCAAACTAGATATCATAACAAAATTATAAATAAATAAATTAAGTAATTACTAATAAGACATAAAAATTTGTTGTTTGTTTCATGAAAAGTATAATCTTTACCAAAAATGTTTAGTGAGCAAAAACATTCAATTTAACTGTTCAAACAATGTAACTCTAGCATATCCAAGGCATATGGCTGTGATACATTGACATTACAAACTGTACAGTAAAAAATCAACTGAATAACAAAATATGTTCAGCTATTGTTACCAAAAATTAGAATAATTTAACCATTTTCCAGACTGATAGGGGTCTTTCACACCTCTTGAAGTTTTTTTATGTCACAGTGGAAATACTTAAACAAATTGCATGAATCTTGCTAAACAAAATTTCTAAGTTGTTTTGGAAAAACAATTATTTACTTTATCTATCACTTTTTACTTTACGAAATTTCCAAAATATTTTTTGCCATACCATTTCGTAAACAATTTATTTTCATCTCAAAATTTAAATTTTTTCTTCTATTGTTGATCATATATATATACACACACACACACACACACACTCAGTTTCAACTTGATTTATATTCATTAATATATTTTATTTTATAATTTATTTTGAAGATCACAGTAGTCACCACTTCTGGCTATAGCTAATAAAACAAATGGTAAAACTGATGAACATTTATCTATGACCTTATCTGTTACAGTGGTGTCATGTCATAATAAGTAACTATTTTTGATAATATTCTTGGGTAAAATCAATTTATCTAATAAATGTAGTTTCTTTTCAATAATTAACTAGTTCTTTTACTTATCTATACAGTTTGAATATAATACACATAACCATTGATTAAATACATATTTGAATCACATATGGATCATTGGAATATTTTGCTGGTACTCTGTAAACCTACCTACACTTAGCTGGTATGTTGTCATAGAAAAAAACCTCCTTAGCTTCCAAACAAATATAATTTACCATAAAAAAAATTAAGATAATTGTAGTTTGTTCACAAGTGTTTTAACCTTCCCACTTAATTTAATTGTTCTTCTCTGCAGGAGCTACATCTAATAATTTTGCCACAAAACTGTAAGTTACTTTCTTTTATATATATATATACCACTTTTCTGACAATACATTCATGTAAATATTTTATAATCTGCTCTATAATCGGTATTCAAACTTTGCTTATAGCTATTCTAAAACCAAGGATCCATTATTCACACCACATACTGCAAGGTCACAGAAAAAAAAAGGTGTGAATGAGAGGCTGTTCTAGTAAAATCAGATAACAATAAGGAAAATCACATGAGAAAGAAAACTTTAAAAAGTATATTCTGAAAGGATGACATTTTTGTTTAGCAAATATAAACTTAAGCTTCAGGATGGGCAAAAAAAAATTTGGAAAAAATCTACAAGTGCATTGATTACCAACAGGACTACTCAGAACTGTGCAGAAATGCAAATTTGAAATAATTTCTTTTTTGCAAATTACACTATATATATATATTACTTCTAAAATATTTCTGAGTGAAATGCTGTTGAAATAGTTAGAATTATTATTTTCACTTAAATTTTGAAATGTTTGCATTAAATACCTGAAAAGCTCAATGGTCCAGATAGGTTTAAACCTTGATATAGAGGAACACTAAAAACATCTTCTTACAAGAGAACTTTGATATAATTTTAATTTTCTAAAATTTGTATATAAAGTTAAAAATTATTCCAAATATATTTCAGTTAATCTTTTTGGAGGATTTTCATTGTGTGTGTGTGTGTGAGCTTTTTTGAATTATGAAAGCATAAGTATAGTCAAGTGTTCTGAAAAGTTAAGTGAATATGTTATTATGTGGTGTTGATTTCATGATAAAAGTAAAGTATAAATATTTTCCATTTACAGTGTTGAAAGGACACTAGCATATGATAGGTTCAAAATTTAAATAGAACACATTTTTTTAGGGGAATATTCATACTAACTTTATTAAATGTCTAATTATCTGAACATGTTAGTCAAAAATTTAACAAAATTGGAAACCTTGAAGAACTGATATTAACAAAATTAATATCAGTTCTTCAAGGTTTCCTAGAAATGTCTACTAACAACTGAATTATTAATTATTTAATTATACCATATATTTCTCTAATGTACTAATTAATTTTAATACAAAATTTCAAATGGTACATTAATAACCTACATCAGAAAATGATACATGGATTTTTAATCACATGTATAAATTGAACAAAAGAGAGAAAATACATATATTTATGTGATGATAAATTTCAACAAACATACCATTCCATTATTTCTGGGTGAAGTAATTTGTTATCCACTTTAAACCTACACAAAAAGTCAAAAGGTAAATAATAATTATCAAAAGTCAATTCTTAAACATTTTCTTTAAAGTGTAAAAACCTACAAGTGTTAAGATAACTTTGTAAAAGTATTGAAATATAGATATTAAAAATTAAAAGCAGTTATAGGAAAAATGTGGATTGTTCTCTAATAATTTAGAGTAATTATTTAAAAACATTTCTTTCAGATACAAAAAATAAAAACAGATACTGGCAATCATGTAATAAAAATATCTGAACAGTTCACAAGTAGATATACTAGCATACTCACTGGCCAATCCCTTCAAATGCAGCCTCTCGACAGGTTTTACCACTATCAGTGTTTATTCCTTTCTGCAAATTAAAGTATTTTCAGAATGAACCAAACTGTTCTATTAAGAATGTGCTGATTTAAATAATACTGACAATAAATCCCACTAGTAACCAAAACTAAAGTATATAATTATTATAAACCTATTTTTGGCAATTTCCAAAGATTTTCAAACATAATTTTCAAATGCTAAATTCTTTCATTTTTATTAAATATTTTTTCTTTATGAGAAGAGTAAAATAGTTGAAATAAGCATCCATTCAGACATACAATATATGTAAGTGGGTAATTTTTTTCTCCATATTTCTTAAGATAATATCTTGCTAGTATCCTTGAACTTTTATCCTTTGTATTGTTTCAAAGCTACAGTAGTCCATCTTAGATACAACCAACCTATCTGTTATGATAAAAAAGTTGCATCTGACAGGAAATCGTTAGTCAAAGGATCAATAACCAGATCGAGTTCAAGCTGTGCCAGTTGCTATTCCCAGGGGTTGAGCATAATGGTTTATATACTGTATCGGTAGTCAGATAACGTAGCAAATTGGTACACTATATAATAATAGTTAGGATGTATAACAGTTCAATAGAAATAACATAAAATTGTTTTGTTTGTGTTTTATGTAAAATAATGTATTCATCGATCAAATTTTTTCATAAACATCCATGTACCATATTTTTATTACATACATATAAAATATTACAAATGGACTCAACATTTATTTCATAAAAAATCGCCCACAATGTTCACAAGTCTGGTAGTTATTATATCAGGAAGGGTTTCGTTGTTAGTTTTCAGCAACAATTTTAATATCAATTTATAAAATAACGTGCAATAAACATCCAGAATTCTACATCAGAGAAACTGGAAGAAAATTGGAAACCAGATTCACCAAATATAATAAAAAAACATTCCATACTTGTATTTACCACCATTGCAACTCAAAAAATCCAAACTATATCAATACAAAACACTGTAATTTTAAACAAAGAACAAAACATCAGAAGCTACATATCTTAACTGAACAGAACAGCCCACCCTAAACCAAAATTTCACCTTGAAACTTCGATCCTTTGATCCCAGCTCTGAAAAAGGACCATTCCACAACTTTAAAAGAACCAGTAAAGAAATAAGAATAAATATCCGAACAAAACTATTGCTAGACGCTAGCCAATAGGTGATAAGGTAATCCTCTCGGGATACAAATACTATGTAAAATGTAACATGTTGTATTAAAACAATTTCAGGCTGGCTAAAAATTCTCTAATTTCTATGTTTCATTTATTTTGTTGGTTTTGTCACATCTTCGGTGTATATCAACATCCACGTCACGTATCAACACTTCAAGCCTTCTTCCCAGCAACTTCCTGTTCTCAGTTTGAGAGATTTGCAGCTTTCCCAGATGGCATGAGGCATTTTATTAGCCATGCTTACTGCACAGATCAGTCGAGTCTGTCACTCAACAATCTGAGTTAATAATCTTCACACCCCCCCACTAGTATATCCTAGTCAAGTTACTTAATGCCTAGGCTACTAGCTCAAAATCTACTATGTTCACTAAAAGAATAAACCTTAATTCCACAAGTGGAGGCAAAGACAAACAGTTTTTGACCACCCCAGTTACCTTTCAAGACCTGAAAGTTTTTAGGCCAATATACCTACATGTAATACCAAGGAGTTTGACTTGAATACTGCAGGGTGCCAAGGTACATATACTAAGCTGTGAAGCAATCTCCAGTCATGTGACCTCTTTGTTCCATACTGTATTCATGTGTCTCTGTAAATTACATTATTGATATGAATTAAAGTTGTTATAGAGATATCGTTAATCAACCTTCCTCCCAAAAATCCTGGTCGTATCTGTCAGAAAGTCATTCGTGGGAGGTCAGATGAATATAAAATCATTCCGTGCACAGAGAAAAAGTCATATTTAAAAGGAAATTGTTACTGGGAGGGGTTATATCCACCAGTAACTACTGTATATCTTTTGGGCCAGTATTATCAAGCAGTTTCTTTAATTTGTGCTGATGATTAGTTAATAGAATGATAAAAGACCCCATAAGAATTGTGTTAACTGTCAAAATCTTGATTACGTTTGTCCAACACCTAGTTTTCTCTATAGTGTGTGTCAGTCAAGGTAATCACTTTAAATATTGATATAAGCCAGATAGTAGGCACCAAAAATCATGTTTAAACAACATTTTCTGTAACATTCTGAATTTGAGTTATTGCACAAGAACTCAACAATATTTAGTATATCAAACTTTCTTCTTAAAGTTTTAAGTGACTTGCTAAAGGGCTTAGTTAAAAGAACAATGAAATGTTCATTTGTTTAACATCCAATCTGCAAATCAATGAGATTGAATTTGAGAAAGTGGGGGATTAGGTGGGCTACAGAGGGGTGTGCCATGGCTTTTGATATTGAACTTAGAACCAAAAAAAAACATACTTCGATATATGGCTCAATCTATTAACCTCAGAAAAATCGCACTTTACTGCCAAAATAATTCGCCTTTCAACAGTGTTGAGTAGAAATGTTTACATTCAAACAAGTGGTATACTTAGCCATCTTACATTGGTAAATAAGCTTCCTTAACAATGTCTATCAAAGAACTTATGAAAACAGCTTTATAAAACTGAGGAATTAGATCCTAAATAGCACAAGATGTGCAACCACTACCATGTTTTATGTAGGATTGTAGAATGGATTATATTTCCTCATACCATGAAAATTAAAGGGAATTTGGTCATGATGGTGAGCAATTCACATTCCAGATATTGCAGAGTTCAACTTTTTTTTCTTCTAAATCTTGGACTGAGTATCAGAAAACTTTGGGAAGCAATCCACCAAACATGTCTCGCTGACTTACAGACTGGGTGTTAAGCATCAAAATCTAAATATTTTTCTGCATTTATACTTTAATTATAAATCTTAATATAATATTTAGAAATCTGTCGTTTTCATCATATTGTCAAGTGTTTAGTCAATCTGTATTACATTAAAAAATAAATTAATGAACAAAAAATGCTAAATTCAATAATCCAGAACCATTTCCATGGCTCAATTGACCCATTGATCTTTTTTGTTAACGAAGAAACAGTTCAGAGAGATTTTAACATGTTGCCTAAATATATGATAATACAGGATTAGTATTATTTTAGAACTATGAAATCTTAATTTCATTTACTTTCCTTTTTTTTTAAGTTGGTGTTACTTCACTATATAGCTGTAGATGTTAATTTATGTAAACAAATGCACTTTTATTACCAACCTTCCTAAACAAATACATGGTAAATACACACTTAAAGTTTCTTAATACAAGAATTATCAATTTAATGATCATAGAGCCCTTGCAAAATGGTCTCACTCATCTTTATATGTCAATGCAGGTTAAAATGAACAGAGGTGACAAAAACTGCCCTGAAGAAAGAAAAAAAAAAGACTTTTTTGCAGTAAGGATGAAAGAAATTTCTTGAATTTTCATATAAATTTTAACAAACTGTAAAAAGAGTTATATACAAATTAGTATGCACAAGTACCAACAACTGAAAATCCAAGGTAATGCCAACAACATGGAATGGAATGATACAGAATTAACGAGTTATAAAAATATTAAATTGAACACAGTATTAAAATAGTGTTTGATGATAGAAATAATGTAGAAGCATTGTTGTGAAATAACTGGCACACATGATCAAAGAAAGAAGTTTACTTATGTATATAGATAAAGTAAACTAATTATAGCCTACTTTTGTATAATTTTTTAAATAGAGAGTTTCTTCCTAAGTCACTGGATCTAATTTATATTCCATCATCAGGTAATACATGCAAAGCAGATACTGCGTTTATGTGGGAGTTTTATTGAAACTTTCAACCACATCTGCAAAAAAAGCTGGTATATTAATAGAATGTTTTCAAACCAATCTCCTTTACGGAATTACTAGAGAATAAAAAATTTATTAACCAAATTTCAGATAAATTAATAGTTATGATAAAGAAAAAAAAACAAACAACTATACAGATTTTTTATGTCTGTAACTGAGAGCTCTTCATGTGAATAATCAACATTGTTATTTACATAAATAAAATTCTAATGAGGTTGGGTAATAAAGATAATTTGATTTGAATTTAATTTTTTGACTATGGTTTCTATATTAAATGATCTTTTTTTCCTTTTCAACTAACAAGATTTTGCATAGATCGTAAAGTACAGTATGACTTATAAGAATTTGAAGAAAAAATTAATTCCAAAATAACCGAAGAATTTTAAGGAAAAAAGATACTGTGTTTGGAAAAGGTTCCTTATACATATTAAAAGTTTCTGCTTACAGTCATTAGTGAAAAGCACAAGTGCTACCTAATTACATCTAGGATACATATATTACTAATAACATAATCCAACACTGAGTGATAACACAAGTAGTGCTACAAAAGTTCCCCAATAGTTAAAAACCCAAAATGTTCTTATTTCTAGACTGTATCATTCATTAACTACGAAATATAAAATTCTGCATTTAAGTGTGTTTAAGGAGTTAAGTAGATATTTTGCTTCACAGCAACTTGAACCTTATCTCTACAAATTTATCACCTCCAAGACCACAATAAAATCAAAAAATTATTTTAGATTTTCACTATATATAGTGCATCTACTAGCAACTTTTCAAATACATTATAGAATAGCTGTTCTTAATCTATGAGCTCCTTTCAAATGGTCTGGAAAGATTGCATATTTACAGAATCCATTGGCAGGGTAGTGTATTGACCCCCCGACAATAACAAACAATCCAGGTGGTTTGCAAACATTTTAGAACCATTTTTATAGAAGGATATCCGATTATTGATAAAATCTATGGGTTATGTAACCCTCATGAATTAAATATTAATAACGAAAACTTACCAAAGTCAAAAGTATGTCAGGTTTTAATCCAGCCAAGACGTCTGCAATCTGTTCAATATAGAAACATATCTATCTATTCATTCATTTACATGAATCATTTTAAATTTAATGATGCCTCCCCATAACTACTGATTGTACTTATCTTTAATAACAAGATGAATGACAAACAACGGCTATTTAAATTTATGGAAAGTATACCACTAGTGAAGTAATTTAAATCTATTTACACTACGATACATGTTTTAAGTTAACTACGCTTTTGGTACACTGATGGCTTGATAACAATGAATATTCTCTACTGGCACAAAGAACTGTAATTTATTTTACAAAGAAAACTTAACAGAACCTTGATATGTCATAATTGACAACCTACTGATA